CACAGACACTTTTGTATCTTTGTTTGCTGGGAGGAGCTATTATAGCAACTCACGTTCAATTGAGTTTGCTCTCACCTAATTCTGTTAAGCCCTTTTATTAACTTTATTAAACGGACAAAGTCACCTGCACTATAATAACTTATTGTATCCTTATTACTGTTGCGAATGTATGTACCTTTATTATTGTTATCCTTGTATGAATATGTATGCTCGGCAAGCCTTACTGCCTACGCATTTATTCACGCTACTAGCTTTACTATTAACCGCTTAATTGACTTGACGATTCATTAATTTCACTATGTATATATATGTCCATGTTATTCATATTAATGACTCGCTCGCTCGTTCATTCACTCGCTCGATCGCTCGCTCGCTCTTGCCCTTGCTCTCTCTCGCTCGATCGCTTGCCTGTTTGCCTTTCGGCACAACTATTTCATGCTTGCTTAACGCATCTGTAATTTTGGATATCTGTGTGTGGTCCCTTAATAAACGTAATTAACGCTTCGTATTCGCCTTCTGATTAATATACCGTTGGAGCATTATTTGGTGACGGTTACTGAGACGAAATGTATACGGAGTTTAAGGAATATATCGAACACCGACCACCACAATACACTTCACAAGTAAATGTGAATAATTTTTACAGTCGTAGGTTAATCTCATCACTTTTCAATATCTTCATTTATCATGTTGGGCTTATATGGACATAAAATGTTTACACTTTCACAGAAAATTTGATGATTATGTTATTGGGCTGTGATTAGTAAATTTTCTGGGTGTGGCATCACAATATGTCGAATATTTGAGAGAAAGCCTTTGATCATACGTTGAAAAAGTTATTTTAAACAATGAACGGAAGTTATAGAAGTCTACTAGAACAATGTGGGAGACCTGGAGGACCAGTCAAGTAGTTATGGGAATGAGGAGATACAACTTGGTGGTTCTCGGAATCAGCGAAACCCATTAGACCCAAGCTGGACAGCAAAAATTAGGTGAGGGAGGAAAGTGCTCTACACACTAACGGAGTTGCTCTGATGTTGTCCTAAGGAGTCTCAATTAGATGTAAAGGATAATGGAATATCAATTTCTGTGTTATATATATATATATATATATATATATATATATATATATATATATATATATATATATATATATATATATAGATGATGAGGATAAAATGAATTTGAAAAGTCAATTTATTAAAGTGTAACACAAGATATTGCCCTAACTACAAACTTTTAATGTTTAAGAATAATATTTATTAAGGAGGAAAGGAGTGAGAAAAAGAAGGAATAAACAACTAGTGACAGGGTGTAGTGACCTATTCTTACCAAGAGAACGCGATTGATATGATGGAAACAATTATTATTATTATAACCAATTGTACCAGTGATTGTTCTACTCTACTTGTTTGTTTAACTGTACTAAAAACATACATTCTTCCATTGTTTGTGACCTTGTACGAACTTACGTTTGCTTAGTAGTTCCACTTGTACCCCTTGGCACGATCTCGGTATTATTTCAATACAACGAGATTGCCAACAAATACATCTCGTCTACAGCCATCAACCGCCTTCTGAAATTAGACATACGGGGGATCTAACCTGTTAACTGGCACCTGGTCTTACTGTCATGGTGATCACAGTCAAACGCGACTCGACGCCACACTACAGGGGTTCAACCATGGTATTAAGAGTGTAATGAGTATCGACCTCTGATATAAAACATTAATTTTTAATTTTTAAGCGCACTCGGGTGAATACATGTAAATTTATGTAATAGGATTCAGAGTACAACTTGATGTTTGCATAAAATTTTGTGCAATAATAATTTTGGAATGATGCTGTGATAGTCCTAACTAATTGCAAAAAAGTCAAACAATTTCTGTGTTTTATATATATATGGTGAAGATAAAATAAATCTAAAAAGTTAATTTATTTAAGTATAACACAATATAATTTGTTTTTAGTTATCAACTTTGGACGTTTATGAATAAAATAAGTTTGAAAGGAATAAAAGGGACGAAAAGGAAATCTAGTGTGTCGGGGGACAAATCATGATAATAGTAGCAATAATCATAAATGTGAACATAAGGAGATTTTAGATATTAAGATGAATAGAAAGAAAGCAAAATAAAATAGACTCGAAAAGATTCAAAGGTTCTACTTTGTTTTTCAGTTAATTAGACAGATGGCGGATCTTATTTGTATAAATCATTGTTAAACACACACACAGGTCGCACAATCCACGTTCGGAAATAAAATCACTAAGGAGACTTCTGAACTGTGTTAAAGGTTCGCTTATGATACTGTGTCAAACGTCAGTTATCTTAGTGTGAAGTTTTTCCTCTGATCTCGCTTAGTCTTCCCCTGTTTTATTGATATCGAAGAAAATTTTCCATCTGACTTACTATATAAAGAGGCTACATGCTTATGGGATAACTCGACATTTACCCTTAAAATTTGTCGATCCTTGTACGTTATCTATTATTCTTTACTGTTCTCCATTATTCCTTCCCGGACTTTTGAGAAAAAACTCAGCTATATTGTGTAGAGTTTGCATTTGGTTTGCTGATGTTATTATCAGAGTGGCTGTGGATAGACATTTAAAGTCTTGAAAACCCCAGGTAGGTGTCATCTTACCATCTAAAATGTAGGACCAGGCACATACATGCATCGATCCGAGTTGCAATACTTAATTACCGCAACACAATGAACACCAGATTCACAGGAGTAGATACTTCAATGATAGTAGAAAAATTTCATATAAGGTTATGTTGCAGGGAGAAAGAATTGGTTCGTAGAAAGTTATAAGGTAATTTTAATCTCACGGTTTGTGGGAGGACAAAGAATGTGTACACCTTCACCATTGTGATCGATCCTCAGCCATGTTACCCAGAGTCTCCAATTGTTGGTCCTGATGGTCGCTCGAACCCCGATCAAGCAGTCTATATCTACTAACATGGCTCAGATCAGAAGTTAGAGGCTTTGTGGATTGATGCGACGTTTGGATCTGTCCGACCCTAACTTTCTTCCAGCCGTCTCCAATACTAGTCAGCATTGCGCGCCATGGTAATCGGTGATCGGTCATGCGTAAGTCACATCACAGTCCATACAGACTCGTCCTGTCGTGGCAGTCAGCAGTATGGCATAAAGCGCTTCTGAAGAACACGTTAGGGTTGAGAAAAGAGTAATATATTTTATAAGGGGAGCAAGAGGTTACACAGGGTGACAACTCTTGCATGGCCGAAACATGTCAGCTCTTAGCCTTTTTCGCGTTCACCATGTTTGACCTTCCTTAAGTGTCACATATTGAATAGCTACCAGAGCAGTAAAAGGGGTGGATTATTAATTGATAGCATCTTTGTTCCTAGTGAGTTTCATACGAATCCTCTTACATAATAGGTCATCTAGATCGATTCTTATGAAAGCAGCTTGAAATATTGGTAGAAATTGAATGAAATGGTCGAAGGATTGTGTCCAAGTTATCAACTTACCATTCCGCCTTTTTCTCGCGATATTCATTGACGAATACTGTCATCTTAATTAAAGCTGTTGGCTTGAGAAAATGAAAAGAAATCTTTAGTAAATGAAAGAAACTGCGCCTCATTAAAGGAGTCAGCGAATAGAAAATGGTCTGGTTTCTAACCTACCGAAAGTCCAGGCTTTACTGTCCCAGATGCCTGAAGCGCGGTTGTCCCTTCACTCTTGTGGTTATTACTTTTCCAACAACCTTTTGGAATACGGTTGAGATCAAACAACAGTTTTGATATCAAACTCAACCACTAGAGAGTCTCTGCAAAAGTTTACCGTTAAGACTCTTTTATGACTGAGTTTGAGTTTGTGTGCTTGTTTGTGGAAATATACGTTATGTGTAAATATATTTAGAAGGATGATCTTTACTTTTTATTCCTTATTTCAAGTTTCCTTATTAGTGTTTCATTACATATTACATTGGTCGTTTGGTCCCATATGAAACTGTCGTCATTCATTTTTCATTGTGTATCATCTTATTTCCTGGCTTCTAACGGAATATTCGTAAGACTTATGCATATTCGAACTTTGGCATTTCATGAAAAAGCATAACTCTGGTTTCAATCTAGGTCATGGCAACTGGTGTGATAGAGAATATGCATATGGTATGGTTTTGACCACCAATTCTACGTACTCCTACTATCAATCAATCTACGGTGAGGGTAAACTTTTCAGTTGGTCAAAAGACTAGTGTAGACTTTGCTGCAAATGAGGACTGTAGGATGTGTCATGGTTTATTCTCGTTTCACCGTTCCAATAGGAACTGTTTATTATAAACCAAGTAAAAAGTGGGCAGAAAATGCCAGTAGAATAAGGAATAAAATTAGAATAAGATCGAGAAAGAGAAATTCATATTCTGATTCCTAAGATATTCGTAGCTGAGTGCTGTTGGATCGGTGGGGCTTAGTGTCTCATATCAAGTTAGAAACCCTTGATGTGTATGGCTTAAACACTTTACAGTGTGAAGTTAAAACTGGCACTTCAATGTGTTCAGGAGAAAATTTTTATCGCAGGAAAGTTTAAGTGACTTTAAAATAACTTTCACTGTGGAACTCAATATTCACAACACGGAGTGCGAAGCCATCTTGATAAGATTCAACACTATCAAGACTACTTGTGGTCTGATTTACTGCCTTTAGGGATATCTCAGCGAGATATTTATTCCAAACGATAGAATTTATTTTTATTAGTTCACTAAAAACATCACCCAGTAAAATTTGTAAATATGCCTCTTTCAGGTCTCTTTTCGAAAAGTACTTTGACCCTTGTGATTCATATAACATATATCCAGTCTTCTAAGTGGTTCAACTGTAAAGGAAAAATGTGTGCGAATTATTGACAACATACTTACATTGAACACTATAACGGTGGTCAACTCTACACTTATTAACACACTAATAACCGCATCAAGGTTATTTACATGACTACGAGATGTAGATTTTTTAAAAGTAACCAACTAATTACAAATGAATCAACAACCGAATACATCCGATGTAAGAGATAAAAGTTTCTCAAATTATTTTAAGGCCGACGTCACGAAAGTGACAATAAAATCCGCCGTTGATGATGAGACCTATGAGGCTCTGAAGTGTGATTTTGACGAGGTAAACCTTAGTAATTTTTAGGTGAATGAAAATTAACAACCAGGTTCTGCGAGAATTGGAAGGAAATAAAAATTTGGAGAAATTCAAGGAAGGGTATGAAAAGTTAATGAGGGCATTTTCCAAATCTCATGATAATGAGAAACTGTTAATGCGAAAGTGTAGGGAGCTGAAATCAGAAATTATTTCAAGTTCTGCGAAGGTTAAACAGGCCGAAAATATTTCTAGTGATGATCCAAGTAACGTCGCGAATCTTAAACGGGAAATCGAGCAGGCATGGAAGATGGTCGACGCTGCTGCTGACCGAGAATCTAAAGCTCATGCAACAATTAAAGATCTCAAGGAAGAAATAGCAAACTTAAGCAAGTTACTAGAACGCAGTGACGCCGAAGCAGCCGGATCAGAAAGGTAATGACACTCAAGGAGTAGTTCTGTTTTTCAAAGGTCAATTCTAACTGTTATCCACCTTACCACTGACCAGTCTGAGCCAGAAAAAAGCACAAAATATTAGAATATAACCGTAGTAGCTTTTAAGTGTCCAAAATCTTTGAAACTATGTTTGGGTTGGAAGCTAGTGTTTGTTTGAACCAAAGTTACATTTCGCTTACTCTCAAACAAGGACTAGTCACAAAAAACGACCTTAATTAACGATTTAACTGTATATCTCTTTTTTGAACAGGACGTAAATGTATCGCTACTTTGGCACAAAGGAGGCCATTAGTGAGAATTTGCAGTCACTTACAATGTATTAACACATGAAACTACCCAAAAAGTAAGAATGTTTAGATAACTTTCTTCAAGAAAGCCAACGACCAAATTAGGATGCCGAGGGGTAAACCAGATACTTCATGTGAACGTAACCATAAGCACGTATGACATAGATTTGTTTGTTTTGTTCTCATACATTCATTAATATGAAGCCCAAACAATCTAACACAGTATGAACAAGCTACATTTTGTCCGTGCTCTTTTGTAAGCCGATTGAGCATTTTGACGTTGATGTGAAGAAATAAGCCTACTTGCTCTCATATTTTAAAACTTCGGGATCTTTTAGTAAACGCATGTCGGAGGATAAAGAAACTTCATGCACACAAAATATCAGATTGCTTTTGGCGGATTACTTTGTTTGATCATGGAAATCTGTAAAAATCACACTAAGTGAATCCTTTGGATGAAAAATAGAATAGTTCTGCTGTTCTGGTTTGTAGTAATTATTATAGTGTAATGTGTAACTGTGATAATTAGAAGTATTTGAATTGTAGTACAAACTAAGAATCCCAGAAATAACTCAATTTAACCAAAAAGTATTAGATGGGCACGGACAAACGTACTGTATTTGGAATTTGAAATCAAGCAGTCAACAAGTACAAAGGAATCATTAGTTCATATAAACACCACAGTAACTTGTCTATACAGTAATTTAAAACAAGGAATACAAACGGTCCGCAATTCTTTATTGTTTAGACGGAGCCAATTTAGTGAAGCTTAAAAAGTCATAAAAATAATATACTTATCCAATATTCACGTAGTAGAAAAGCCTAAGAAAAGACATCAAGATCTTAGAAGTAGAACAGAAACATTCAAAACCATTTTAGGGTGAAGAAAATGTCTATTCAAAAATGTGATTTTTAAAATCGCTATTAACTAGACATGCTTTGGTAAATATGTTGGTTTATCAAGGTTTGTTGAAGTAAAGTTTCTTATCACTGAATGGAAATTTAATTCCATCCAACAAAACCTTCTCTAACCATTCAACAGAATTTTATGAAACTATAAAACACCGAATTCTGTGCGAACAGTATACATACATTCAATAACTTCTACAAAGTTTAGTAGGTCGTAAACTAGTATTGAATAACTTGAAGTCTTTTAGTTATTTAGCTAACAAAATAGAACGTTGCGAGGAAGAACGTATGAATAAAGCAACTCGGTTATGAATAATTTGTGTGCACTGAACACCTACTAGGATTCCAAAGAAAGAGTAAAAATAAAAATGTACGGGACTACAGATTCATTTAATCATTCAGTAACATCAAATGAGCATCTGGCTTAAATGTTCATGAAAAAGTGATCCGTCCTCTGAATTTTATATTTTAACGTTAAAATGTGAATTGTAAATCAATTGAAGGATTGGATTAGCATGTAAATGACTAAACAAACATGACACTAGTTAATACTTCGCAATAAATAAACTGTTTTTTTTTGTTATATACAATACCAGTTCATTCGACAGTAAAATGTTTGTGTTGATCATAAGATTTAAGGAGAATTTAGTTGTAAGGCTGTGAACACATTTAAGGAAATATTTGCACATATGTTATACTACTTTATATTATTTAGTTTAGTTGAGTTACAAAGGCAAAAAGAGAAATTACTTAAAGAACGTGATGAACAAATTTTCGACAATCAGAAATTAAGAGAACAAATTGAAGAAACTAGGAATCGTGTCGCAGTTTATCAAAATGAATTGTTGGAAGCACAAAATAAAATCACAGAATTAACTGTAGACCTCCAGGTTAGTTGACTAAAAGAATTTACAAATGATGACGCGATATCTGGTTATCTTTTTGTTATTCATCTCAATACAATGGGTCACTTAGTTAAATTTTCAAAATTTTTTCTGCTGAATAAAAACAAGCACTTTTTGAGATTTTAAATCAAGATTGTCCTTAGTTTCATTGGTGCTAAATTTGGATTTAATGGCTACTATTTTCCTATTTTATGACATAGAACAAACTAGTTTGTTTAAAAAGTCTGAAATTGGCACTTTTGTCATAAATTTTACTGAATCACGTAATTGTTGTAAAATATCAGCTTATTACTCAAACTGGTAGCCTTAGTGACTGGAGAAATTGAATTATAATATTTGTTATTGAGTTATATCAACTAGAACACTACTCTAACTTCAAGAGATTAGAAAGCAGATTATTTTACCGCATTCTGAAGACAGCTGACCACAATTTATTTCATCTTTGGGAACTCTGAAGGTTTATTGGATAAGTCTAAAACTTTAGTCAGAACACTAGAAACAACATACTATTTGAATGTGATTTCTATGTTATTAAAAGATAAATTTACTTGTTCAAAATTCAAATCGTTTGAGGACCATAGTGATCCTTATTATTCAGATTTCACCCAGGAAGTATTTACTTTCGACTACATACTTGTCGGCTTTTAAATATTTCAAACTTCACTTCAAGTATGTATACTACATACAAAAGTGAACGGTATTTCAGACAACCGTTTACTTATTTTACCAATTCTATGAAACTACTTTAAAGTAGTTAAAGTGAACTTTGAAAAATTTCAAAATGTAGAGTAAAACAGTTAAAATTAAGACAACCATATTGATGATTCTTTTTTGAGATTTTATAAGCAACAAAATGACCAGAAATATGAGTAAATTAAAATATTGAAGTCATTCCATTATTTAAAAATCTGATCACTTTTAGCATATAATTTTATTTACTTTTCAATATAACATTTTTGATAGAATAAAAATCTTGAAGCACAAAGAGAATTACGTAAAAAAGAACGAATGGAAAAAGATTTGAAACAGGTACGTAGTGAAGTTGAATCAAAAATGGAAGAGATCAGTTCTACGTCAGCATCTGTTGAGAAATTGAAACAAGAACTACGCACAAAAGATGAAGAAAATCGTGCAACAAAAGTTTCTTTAGAGCAAGCCAATCGTCATTTACAAATAACTGAAGGCAAATTAAAAGATTGTCAAGCAAAACTTGAACAACAGATTGAAGTTAATGAATCTATCACAGCTCAAATACACTCAAAAACAACTGAAGTGAAGGTAAAGAATTTTGGTTTTCATGTTTCGTTTCATAGTAAAGTTTTTATATTGATTTATAGCATATTTGAATATTGATTGAGACAAGAAAAACTAGTGTTAACCATTCACTCATAGGGAACGTACAGTCTAACATCAATATATATTGGTGAAAAATTGTCATAACGGACGTCAAAACAATAATAGAAATTTACGAAGATGAAAGTTGGAGATCCATTAGAATTATGTGATAATGGTTATAACTTAAAATAAGAAGCATAGTTCTTCTTCTGTCACCTTATCCTTTGGTTTGCATAGGATTGATTTTAGTGATTTTGTTGGTTTGTGTGCAACACCTATTCCAATGGTTTTCAGCAGTTTCGCTGTAGTTTCTGATATGTCTTTTATGTATGGTGGGGTGATCTTTTTGTTGATTTCTGTACTTGATTTTGTTTCTAATGATGCATGCGGCTGGCACTTTTTCGATGAAGTTGATTGGGTAGTCGTTTTTTTTGGAAAATGGTCTTCAGGTATTTTTCATCATTTTTTCGTGCTGCAAGTATGTTGAAATGTGTCCTCATTCTCCTGAATAAACTTTGTACGCAGTTGATTTTGTAAGCTCCTAGGTTGTTGCCATTGTAGTTGAGAATTTGATCTGTGTAAATCGGCTTCCTATATACTTTTTATGGTATAAGCTGTGAACCACATGTGGAGAAATTCGAACACTTCACTTCTACTCAAAGTTTGTTCTGATAATGTCGTTCGAAATTGCTAGGTTTGAAGCTATCACGAGTTCTCTTAATCTGCAAACGAGAAACAAGACTCGGTGACCAAAGACCAGTAAGCTAGCTATTGATGCATCCCAGCCCCGCTATCTAGAGGGAGAAGTCCAAGCTTGGAATGGGAAGTATATTCTGCAAACAGCCAGAAAACGAGCGATCACAACAAAAACAATTTAGAAACGTATATATACAAATATATATAGTCGATATTGGGATGGAGCTTTTAAACATTTAATCGATAAGTTTGTCAATCAATTATGTGGGTGGGTGGTAAGAAATGCCCACGCTTACATCTGCATACAAGCTTCACAAAGTTAAAATCGCAAAATATGAGTTTTGGGGATCTATCGTCCCCAACAAAAAGAGTGATGAATGCTCCTCGACCAAACCATCCAGCTCAGAGAACAAAGTCAGTCAGTCAGTAACAACGTAGAACTCTGTACTTACGTACATCATTTCGAGTTGCCATGCCACATTAGCACACAAATACAATTGTTGGTTCGAATCCCGTAGTGGTAGAGGTAGTAAGAGTATAAGTAGTAATCGGAAAGATTAAAGTCCTAAAATGTTATTCAAGGAGTATAATACAGTGAAAAAAATTGGAAAGAGAAAAAAAGGACATGAAGAATTCAGAAGATTAGAATTTGGAAGAACACAAAGAGTGGGTGCACCTGCACCATTACAAACGATTTTGAACCATGTCATTCAGGGTTTCTAACGATCGACTGCTATCATCTCGCGGATTCCAAACAGGTAGTCTACACCTACCAACATGGCTCAATCCCCTTGTCAGTGACTTCATGTATTTGTGCCATGTTTTAGTCTGGCCGCCTCTAGCTTTCTTGTAACGTACTCCTACATCATAAAACATCTCATGTCGGGGCAGTCAGTGGTTGGGCATAAGATTGTAACGGAACTACAGAGATGATTCGGACGTAAGCCTTTTCTTTTTCAAAAAAATTTTTAACAAAATAAAATTATATTTAGTAATAACAATTCAATATATAATTAATAAATAATTTATTAAATGAATTCAAGTATTTTTTATTCCATACATATAGTTTCCTTTATTATTTTAAAGAGAGCAAGAACAACGATTGGTGCAGAATAATATGAATTCATTTTATTTTGTTAGGTTCTCATCAGCTGCTTACAACCTTAAATATTTGAAAATCAACGTTATTACAGATATTGACATACTTATACATAAGAGGGTGATTAAGGATGAATATATGTATCATGATGTAGCAATAATTCCGTTCGAGTTAATGAGGTCATAAAATTTTTTTGTTTCGAATAAATAAAGTTTGTAAGGGAAGGTTCTAGAACATTGAAATAGTAATTAGAACTCATAGAATTAGAAAACACATTAGATGATTGTGTAATGAAGTAACTGAAAGTAGATTAATGGTAATAAAGAGAGATATGAATTGAACTTGGTTAGTTATGAATGATGTAATTTTAAGATTCAGAAAGAGTTGGAATAGTGAATGACGCAATAAATAAATAAATAGAAGGTGGGTTGATGTTACCAGGGCAAAAAAAGATTTATCACTGTTTGTTTTTGTACACATAGATCTGGTTTTAAACGTTTGATTGCTATCGCTTCAGCAAATTCCAAAAGGTTTGAGTCTGATTATTTGTTAATCACTTTGAAGGACTTCAGTGTATCGACTTCGTGTCCTCTTTCAAGGAGATGTCTTGCGATGGTATTGTAGAATGCTTTTTGTCCATTTGATTTTAAACTCTTCGTAATATGTTCTTTGAATCGGGCGTAGGCTCTCCTTTCTGTTCTACTAATGTAACTACTTTGGCAGATACATGTAAATTTGTATACACAATTGGTAATAACATGAATAGGGATACCTGTCAACCTTTGATTTTGTCAAATAATATATTATTTTAGACAAGACAACCAATTTAGCTATAAGATAAGTTTTCGTCAATACAATTTTTACTCTCATATTGATTAACCCTGTAACATTGTCACCTTTGACTTTAAGCATTTTCTTCGAATTTTTCTTTGTCTTCACGTTTTTTCATATTTCTCAATAAATTTCAAATGGGTATTGATTATTCTTTTTTATTATTAATAATAATATTATTATTATTTCCTTATTAAACTTTAGCAACGTGAAGATGAATTACAACGTGCAAAAATAGATTATAATCGTTTATTAAAACAAAATGAATTAATTACTAAAAAATCTAATCAAATTGATGAAGAAAAATTAAATTTAGAATATAAATGTGAACAATTACGTAATGAAATAAATTCATATGAAAATGAAATTCAATTAATAAATAAAACTAATGAATTAAATAAAAAAGCATGTGATGAACTTAATCATGAAAAAGAAATAATCAATAAAACTTTATTAAAAACAACAACACAAACAATAAAACAAACAAATTTAATTAAATTACATGAATTATCTAAACATAATTTAGAACAAGAAATAATGAATTATCGTGATGAAGCATTAAAACAACGTAAAATAATATATAAATTAGAACGTGAACGTGATCATTATATAATAGATGCATCAGAATTAACTAAAAAAATTTTAATTAATATGGATGAATTAAAATTACGTGAAATGCAAATATTTGAAAATAAAAAAAAAATTGCTGAATATGAAACAAAATTAAAACAACAACAAAATTTATATGAAGCTATACGTAATGATCGTAATTTATATAATAAAAATTTAATTAATACACAAAATGAATTAATTGAATTAAAAAAACAATTAAAATTATTAACACAACAAATTACACAATTAAAAAATGATATAACAATACGTGATATAAATTTAATTAAAGAAAAAACGGAAAAAAATAAAATTGAAAAAATTAATGAACAATTATTAAATAATATAAATCAATTAAAATTACAAATTAATGAAAATAATCAATATATTGAATTACAAAAAAATGAAGAAAATAAATTAATCAAATTAATTAATAATATAAATAATGAACGTTCAAAAGAAAAATTAAATTATAATCAATTAATTAATGAAAGAGATTTATTAGGTAGTCAATTAATACGTAGAAATGACGAATTATTATTAATTTATGAAAAATTAAATATACAACAATTAATATTAAATAAAGGTGAATTACAATATAATAAAAGAATAAATGATATTAATATATTAAAAAAAGAAATAAAAAAATTACGTTATGAAAAATCAATATTAAATATAACAAATAAAAAAATGAATGATTATAAAATAGAAATAAATAGAATAGAAAAAAATTTATTAAAAGAAAAAATTAAAGCTAAAGCATTAGAAGATGAATTACAAAATCCTATAAATGTTCATAGATGGAGAAAATTAGAAGTATGATTTATAATTTATTATATATATATATATATATATATATATATATATATTATATAATGCGTAAATGATATATATATATATCTTTTTATCTATCTTTTTATTTATACTTATATTGTTATTATCAGAAAGGTTTTCTTTTGGAGATTTTAGTAATTTTAATAGTTGAAATCATCAGTCGTATGAAGCTAAACCACCATGTAAAACTTGGAATCACTGGATGACCGTTTCGTTCTAGTATGGGACTCTAAAGCAGTGCGCAACCATGATCCCGACCCCCCTCCCGCGAGATTCTAACCCAGGACTTATTAGTCACGCACGTGAGCGCTTAACCATTAGACCACTGAGTTAGCTTGCATCCAACGGTGTTAATGTCTAACTTCAACCAATCCATGAAATTGAGCCACCGTCATCATTGTCTTCAGTGATCTGATATGTCACTACAGATTTGGTTAAACTTTACTGGTCACGGCTTCTCACTAGAATTCCAGGAAGTATCTCTTGAAGTCAGTCACTAGTGAGCAGATGATTATTATCAGAAGAGGTTTTTGTAGAGATTTTAGTAGTTTCAATAGTTGAAATCATGAATCAATTGAAGTAAGATCACCGGCTTATTGGCAAAACGGTTAAGCTCTCGCGTGCGATACTGATAGATCCTGGGTTCGAATCTTGCGGAGAGCGGGATTACAGATGCGCACTACTGAGATGTTCGATACTAGGACGAAAAGGCCGTTCAGTGCTTCTAGGTTTTTCATGGTTTTCTAGCTTAAATTGACTTATGATTTCAACTATTATATTGTTATTGTTTGAATGGAGTGTTTTCTCATACACATAGTTCCTTTTATCATTTTGAAAAGAGCAAAAACAAAGATTTTAGGAGAATAGTATGAATTCATTTTATTTCGTAAGTTCTTGTCAGCTGCTTACAATCTGTGATATTTAAAATTATAAATAAATAATGGGTTTAAATTAATTACATGACAATCCATTGATGGAGTTATACTTATATTTGAATTATTCCACTGTTAATAATCAGGACAACTTATAGACTAGTTCGAAATAAAGACCAGTGTCAGGTAAGGTTGCTTTTTCTCATCCTTTTGCTTTTTCCTGGTGATCGACTGCATTGAGGAGACGTCAACATCTTAAAGGAAGCATGTGATACAGTGGACAGCTGAATGATCTAGACTTTGCAAACGATCTGGCTCTTCTACCGTTTACACAACTACAAATGCAGAAAGAGACGGCCAGTGTGGCAGAAACTCTAGCAACATCAGGTCACAACATACAAATGAACATGCACCAGTCAAATCACAATGGACGAAGAAGGTTTGAAGGATGTAAAAATCTTTACGTATCTGGGCAGCAACATTGATGAACATGATGGATCTGATGAAGATGTGAAGGCGCGGATTGACAAAGCAACAGCATTATATCTAAAATTGAAGAACATTCGAGACTCAAAACGACTGTCAATCAACACCAAAGTCAGAATTTTCAATACAAATATCAATACAGTTCTACTGTATGGGATGGATAGTTGGACAACTACGAAAGCTATCATCCAGAAGATACAAGTATTTATTAACACTCGTCTACACAAAATACATCGGATCCGTTGGTCAGACACTATCATCAACAACCTACTATGGGAGGAAACAAACCAAGTTCCAAAGTAGGAAGAAATCAAGAAGCAATGGAAGTGGATAGGACACATATTGAGAAAAGCACCCAACTGCATTACGAGGCAAACACTCACATGGAATCCTCAAGGCCAAAGGAGAAGAGCAAGACCAAAGAATACATTATTCTGAGAAATGGAGACAGATATGAGTAGAATGAAGAACAATTGTATAGAACTAGAAAGGAAGGCGGAGGACAGAGTGGGTTAGAGAATGCTGGTCGGTGGCCTATGCTGCATTGGAGGTAACAGGCGTAATTAATTACTTGAGTAAGTAAGTAATAGTCTTGACTGAATTTGATCCATGTTAGTTGGCTTATGTGTAACCCATGTGAATAATTTAAAACATTAGAAAAGATTATATAAATATCATACTTGTTGCACAATTAAGTAACTATCCAGACTCAGTAGTTTAGTGGATAACTCGTTAACCTTCACAAAGAAATGAATTACGTTCGAGTTTCAGTGTGAAAATCCACACTAAGATCCATGTAAATTTAGGTAAACAGTTCAATTTCAGAGAATTTAATTCACTTTCTAATTGTATACTACAATTTGAAATATTTATTTTTCGTTGTATTTACACTTACCAACTGTTTCATTGTAAACGTTTCACACTCCTGCATATTAATAAGCAAAGCCTTTATTTTGACTTAAACTGTTTGTGAATTATATTCGTTCTTACATTTGAAAAATAAAATTAATAAAGATCTCAATGAATTTGATTATTTTATTAGTACACTGTTGGATAAGTTAATCATGTTGAGGTGTAAAAACGGTTTTACAATGACAACTTATATATATATCAAATGATGAAAGAATATTGGACAAGTGAACAAAAGTTATTGATAAAACTGATCATTTAATATTGAAGCATGTAAACTTGTTTTAAAAATAAATAAATAAAGATCAAACTTTAAAATAAAAGAAAAAATTAAAAAAACGGTACTTTTTTGTACATTTTAATGAATTACTACAAGTTATCTTAATTTGAATCTATGGATTTTCACCTGATTGTATCTGATCTAGTATATTAACTTAGTTAATTTTAAGACCTTATTTATCTCAACATTTTATATTAAGTATACAAATAAGTCTTTCTAATTGAACGCTGTATTCGGTTCCTAAGCTCTTCTAGTAACCCTCAAGCTAGAACTATACAGTGACCCGAACACGAGAATAAAGGCTCAAAATATGCAAAAAACACTTTACTCTGAAGGTTCATTTATGTACAGAAAATATAGGGTTTTTATAGTATTTTAGATGTCCTTGGGTGTTTCCGAAAATTCTAGAATGCTACTAAACATAGTCGCAGTGTAGTAATTATCCAATAGGAAATTAGAACTTTCCAACTTCTAAATGTTTCTGTCAAAAATTCTAGTGAACGCTGATTCAATAAGATGCTTCTCAGTGTTTTCAGAGCCTTTCTTGGATCTTTTCGAGGAGTTTTTTGGATCTCCCCAACATATACTATCAGTCCTTAACTGTCCAATAACTGTATTCAACATTATGACCAACAATAATTTAATCTCTTGTAAGTTACATAAATTGAAGACAATTGTTTTGAAGTAAAAGTTTATTCAACCAGGGTTAAAATGCAACAATAGATGGTTGTGTTATTTAGAGATACGATATATGTCAATTTGACAGTCTCTTGTACACAATCTCCTAATTATATATATATATATATATATATATATATATATATATATATATATATATATATATATATATATATATATATATAACCAATGGTATTTTTATTTATCTAGGGAAGCGATCCATCTACCTATGAAATGATACAGAAAATTCAGGCATTACAAAAACGTCTTATTAGTAAAACTGAAGAAGTAGTTGAAAAAGAATTACTTATTCAAGAAAAAGAAAAAGTTTACATTGAATTAAAGCATATATTAGCACGTCAACCAGGTCCAGAAGTTGCAGAACAATTGAATATCTACCAAAATATGATCAGAGATAAAACAAAACAAATGAAAGTGAGTAAAATAAGAGAACTAATTGATTTAGTTATTAATTACTAGTTTTGTTAATAACACAGTGACGACTGGTTTGTGTATATGTGGTACATAAATTCGTTAATGGTTTAGACATATTACTTACATCTGTTAGTTTAGGGTTGTAGAGATAGTTGAGTTTCATGGAAATGGTGGACCGATCTAAGTTGAACGACTGTTGAAAACCTGAAAGTACTGTATGGCCTTTCGTCTTGGCACGAGACTACTGAATAGCATCAATCCATGACCCCGTACCAAGTAATCAAACTCAGGATCTTTGGTGTCGTGCACGAACACTTAACCATTAGATAACAGAACCGGCATCTGACTATGTGAATGTCTAACTTCAACCAATTTATGATATTGTGTGACCATCTTCCATTGTTTTCGGTAGTTAAATACTGATCACGGCTTCTCACTAGAACTCCGGAAATTTACTTTTCAAGCTATTCACTAATGAACATATAATAATTATCAGGATAGGGTTGTTTGTAATCTGATTCAGTCACTATAAACGTTCCTTACATTTTATTAACTGAGATACACATTTAGATATGTTCAGTTCTATGAGCTAACTGACTTTAAGACGAAGCTTTCATTGTCTTTTAGCATGAAATTACCAGTTTATAATTCAAATAAGAGCGAGTATTTAGGATTATGCTAAAAAGCATCAGTAATTTCAATTCGCTATTCCTGTCAGTGAATTACTTCAAATGTTTTGTTATGTCCATGGTTTTAGATTAACTTATTGCCACAATGATAACTGACTAATAGTGATATTTTATAGACGTTCCAACTTGATAATTGTTGAGTAGTTCTAAAATGTTCAATTTTATTTCAAATGGGTCTTGGTGATTTATTCCAAAAATATCATTCTGGGGGACAGTAGGATGACAGTGACTGACTGACTTGTATGTCAGTCGTTCAACATCATTATTTTCGAAAACAGATCTTTTATCAAAATACAAGGATTCATTATGATTACTATCTTAGCCATAAGATTACATTCTAAGAAAAGCTTACTTACTGAGGCCTGTTACTTCCAATGGATAATAGGATGCCAATCAGCATTCTCTAACCCACTCTGTCCTCCGCCTTCCTTTCTAGTTCTATACAATTGTTCTTCATTCTACTCATATCTGTCTCCATTTCTCAGAATAATGTGTTCTTTGGTCTTGCTCTTCTCCTTTGGCCTTGAGGATTCCATGTGAGTGTTCTCCTCGTAATGCAGTTGGGTGCTTTTCTCAATATGTGTCCTATCCACTTCCATTGCTTCTTGATTTCTTCCTACTTTGGAACTTGGTTTGTTTCCTCCCATAGTAGGTTGTTGATGATAGTGTCTGACCAACGGATCCGATGTATTTTGTGTAGACGAGTGTTAATAAATACTTGTATCTTCTGGATGATAGCTTTCGTAGTTGTCCAACTATCCATCCCATACAGTAGAACTGTATTGATATTTGTATTGAAAATTCTGACTTTGTTATTGGTTAACATTTGTATAAATGCTATAGAATAGACTTGTAATATAAAGCATATTATTCATTTTATTTATATATACAAATTTATATATCAATTTTACTGTTTTTTAACAAAGGCAATGACAGCTGAAATGAATGTTTATGAAAGTCAAATTACTGAATATAAAATTGAAATTGAACATTTAAATCGTGAATTACAAAATGTAAAGAAAACATATTTTAAACAAAAAAGACGTCAACAACAAATAAATACATCATCATCAAATGATAATGATAATAATAATAATAATAATTGTACTAGTCAAGGAAATAAATTACAAAAATATCAACCACATATTAATGATTCACAATCACGTTTCACTGGTGGTGGATTTAAGTTAACACATGTTGTTAGTTAAATAAAGAATTTAAAAAATTTTGAAAAATTTAGGAAAAACAAAATGAAATATAAAACTGAAAATCAATAAATTATAATTTAAACCAGTAACAGGAGAGAGAGAGAGAAAGAAAGAAAATGAAACAAATCAAGCAGACAAACAGTAAGCAACAGTACTCAAATATAATATCAAAGATTGTAATATCTTTTATTTGTATATTTATCTGTATAGATTTAAATATTTGGTTGACAAGGAGAATTAGATTTGAATAAGAATTAGGATTAATAATAAAAAAATATATAAATAAGAATGTTTGTTTTTGTTAAATCAATACAAAATTTGAGTTGAATTTCTTTCATTTTATTATTATTTTTTCTTGGTTAAAATTGTCCATACATTTTTATTGGTATCCATTACCCAGTTATTTATTTGAACTATAAATTAGAATGCGTCAGTATCCAACTCATACTTTACATTCAAGTTGAATGTTATTGATCTTCTAAGCAATTTTTGATATATTCATCTATGTATTACATTATATTTCAACGTTAAGATTTGTAATACTGTCTAGTTGTTTAAACTAAATTGTAAACGAAGCAACATTCAAAGCAAGTAAATCAATGATTTGAAGTTAAATGTTTTAACTATTACACTAAAGCTTAAATGTTTTCATAGCGTTAAGCTGAACTTTTAAACAGTTAGATTTTAGGCAGAACGAATAAATTTTTTTATGAATAACATATTACAGTTCAGTAATAAAATAAATCTTAAGCTGTCATATAATGTGAAACTATTGATAAATCTTTATCTTTATACTTGTCATGTAAATTATTTATGAGGCAGGTATAACAATTGCCTCATTTTAAAATGGGATTAGAGGATGATGTGTAGGATTTTTATCCATGCTGTAAGAAAATACTAACTAACTTACTTACTTACTTATTTACATCTGTTCCTCCAAATGGAGTATAGGCCGCCGATCAGCATTCTCGAAATCACTCTGTCCTGAGCCTTCCTTTATAGTTCTATCCAATTGTTGTTCATTTTTCTCATGTCTGTCTCTATTTCTCGGCAAGAAAATACCTCGAACCGAAATATTTATTGTTTTATAGTAATGAAATACTATGCAATATGTTTAATAAGCTGGCAAGACTCCAGATAATGATTGAATTGGGTAGTAGCTGACATATTTTCAAATAAATTTTGTTCAGTTTCACTTAAATGTCTCCTTTCTTGTACTTGAGAGAATATCAGTGGATCATACAAGTTTTTTCTACCCGTAATTGATTCAATCGGTATATTGGTCTAACATCCTAAACAGTTTTTAACTAAAACAAGTTCGATTAATTTCTCTTAAGTTGATGAAAATTAAATGAGCTGGCAGTAATTGTATTTAATAAAATGTTAAGTAAACAAAACGAGTACAGAAGCATCATGTTATATCCTAAGAGAAGTGAATGAATGGTAATTTCCAGGAATTAATTCGGGACCATAATCATTATTATTAACTAGATTATATATGTCTTTATTTCTTTTATCATAAGCTTTCGTTTGACCTGTTGAATACCATTATACGATTTACTATTCTTAGTTTATTCTTAATCTATTATTTACGGTCATCCCTACTCATAGCTACTTTTGGTTTGATTTTGTATAATTGTTATTTTTTACTTTATGTTGTGATGTGGTCTGGTCTGCATGTATATAAACCACGTATGTTTGAAATATATTGTTTGTAAAGCACAGACTTATTCTTGTGTTCTGAACTTAACGGAGGGAATAAGGCGAGATGCTTCTGTATCGAGAACCATCGACGATTTAGAGTTGACAAAAGGCTGCTAAAGCTAGTTCGCGTATCAATCGTCAGCTCAGTGATAAGGTCATGGAAATCGATATTCTGAATTGAAGTGTTGTCATGTAATGTCTCACAGGGCTATAAGTCATATCATACAATATATTTATTGACGCGACAGTGTTTACGGTCAGTATTAATTTAGTGAATATAAAATATGTAAACAGATAATGATTTCATGTTTGTTCCGCATTTTCAAATCAAAAATCGATTAGTAGAATAAGAATGAATAGAAGAGTCTCAATGAACTCGTTTGATCAAGATATGCAAATCTCATAAAATGGTTTAACTGAGTAGACTATTTAGTCAACGGGGCAACGAAAATGTCCATGCATATGCTGCTGGAAGAGTCACTAAACAAAAGAATATCTGATCAAAAGTATCACGACAGCAGTTACACAACATAATTAATATTATTTATTTACAATATCTTTATACTTTGACATTTAATAAATTACCTTCACATAATAAGCTAAGTAACTAACTTATCATTATTTCGATTTTCTATTTATAATATCCACTTAAGTGATACTTATTAGTTTGTAGAACAAACTATTTCTGTCATTGAAACTTCTACGTTTATGTCAACTTGTAAATATATTTTAAATAAGAGCTCACTTGAAATCCTAGTTTAATTTATTTTTTAAGCAGCAGCCTTTTAAATATTCAGAAACAGAAGTAGAATATCAGATACATTCTCACTGAATAACTTAAGTCATCTTGGTAACAGGGAAAATACCATTACAAATGCATCATACAAAATACTTAAAAAATTAATTTCGAGGAACAAAGTGATACTACAAACTATGAGTTTAACTTGAAAAGAATAAACCGGTAGAAGTGAAAGGAAAAATTCGTAATAGTTTAATGTTCTCAAACGTTATGATAAAGTGGTATGAAGAACGGTAAAATTTCAGCATTTAAAGAATGTAATAATGGTGGCGGGTGAACTAGGTGGTATTCTCAACAATCACGTGACTAGTGAAATTATATTTATGTACAGTAGATCGAAAAATGTAGAATGAACGTTTACATTTGTCTTATGTATGTTTCAAATAGGGATATTTCGCCTTTATCCTACATAGTATATTTTATGTTGAGAACATGTTAAAAATGTCTCAAGCGTTCCGTGATCTTAATTCAAAATAGTCAATATATTTAAAATTGAAATGAACACTATCGGATATATACATTAATATTTTTTAACTACTGAAATTGAAATAAATAGTTGGTAGTGCTTAATAAAAACTTCAATTGTTACAGTGAGTAGATCAATGTTAGACCACCATGGAAATCCTGGAAACACTAGACGGCCATTTCATCCTATTATGAAACTTCTAAGAGGCATGTAGTTCATTTAATTGTAATAGTATAGTAAAATGTTTTTAAAACACTAGTTTACTTGTCAAATGAAGCTTACAGAATTCATGAATAATATGTTAAAAAATGAAACAACTTTAAAATTTTAAAAGAATTTGAAAGCTTAATGAAATAATAACTCATAGTTATTGTTATGAAGATGAATTCAAGTACTTACTTGATTGATCATGCTAAACCATAAATTTTGCAGTAGTTTTTTAAGGTACTTTTACAGGATAGTTACACAATGTAATGAATTGAAAGTTGATTGGCTTGCAAATAGTCAGATGCGAAGTTCTCACAGTTTGTCTTACGTTCTTAAATTCCTCATATTCCCTTGTTCTTATTATATGATATTATGAGTAACGACTTGCTCAATTAGAGCAGGAATAACATGTGAAATTGAGTTTTTATTTTCGAATCGTATGTGACATGTATTCAGATCTTAGGAAGGATTATACATGCTTAATTGTATTGTGGCATGTACTACTGATGTTGACAGATATAAGTAGTATGTATCATCAATCGAAAGTGGAATGAATGGAGGTAGGACGCTGAGAAGATCAAAGAGAAAAGAACGAGGATAGAGAGTGACTGATATGGAAACTAAGGGACAATCAAGTCAGAGACGATTGATTGACATTTGCAAAGTGAACAGTCAAGTTTGAGAAAGTTGATTGAAATTTTGCAAATGAAGTATTTGCTGTATGATTCTCAGATTTTACTAAGTGATTTTATAATTTTGCGTTCAAATACATTTGCCTGTCCCCTCTTGTGTTCTCGTTCACTACACTACTATATTCCAAATATGTGTTCACACAGTAAGTTATTGGATTATTATCATTAAATACAACTCAGTTCAATCTATACAAATCTAACTGTATTCCCAAATCATTTTGATTTAATTTGAGACAAATCAATTTTGACCACCATTCTTCGTATCTTTTCACTTATGTTCAGGTTGCCGAGTAGATTCAGTTTGGAGTTATTAGAGGTGTCTATGTAATCAAATCGAACGTTCGTTCTGTAAGATATATCATCAGCAGGCAATTCAGTTGAGAATAGTTCCTAACCTTTGTTGCTGACCTTTAGATAACTCAAAAAACGTGAATGTTTTCAATCGTACATCAATTAAAAAAACTCAACAAATTACTTTTGAAGGTTATAGGAAACTACGTGAAGCACTTATTAATGGAAACAGATAACAGAAATCATTCAAATGAATGTATTATATATATCAAATCATACCAAATCATTGCAAGGGGGGAAGTGATGATTATATTATCTAAACAACTAACGTATATGAAAATTTGATTTATACATAGACAATAACTAGATATCTGTGAATTAAAATATCTTCTTGTTGCCTATAAATAAATAAAATAACCAACACCTCTTTTTAATGTTAAAAGAATTAAATTTACTACATAAATTTGTTGTTGTTTGGTCCTCAATACAGAATAGAATTTATCAATCGAATTGATTAATAAGTTGATTCAGCTTTCATTGTGTTGATTAACTATTCAACACAGATGAACCTTTTGTAAGTAACTATGCAATTGATGAGATTTATGTTTAAAACTTCATTATGAAATGAAAATCATTACACAATTAACTTTAAATTAATAGTACATAAATGTACTCTGAAGAGTAACTAATCTTATGTTGTACGTTATTAAATGTAAACTGAATACTATTTATTAATTAGTGATCTAAGTGTTGTGCATATTATTTTTATGGTCATTCGAAATCTGATGACTCGAATCATATTATCGAATCATAGTTGCAGTCTAAATACGAAACAAACGACAATCTTTTATAAGTATACATTAAATTCATCGTATTTCATGATTTACATGATCTTGGCTTTCTTTAGTCACATATCTGAAAAAAGACTGATGAATGTTATCAAACAAACTACACCGAATTTACTAAATAAATTATCGTTTCAATTCACAGCTGTTCAAATTATCTTGTTCGAAGATCCAATAGGACACTTATTAATTCAATTTATAGGATGGGGTCATTTTTATGTGCAACTTTCAAGAATAAGCTTCCGTTCAAAGGCCGTTGTC